AATTACATGTAATAAATGTATATACTTGTATATATATATTTTAGATTTTAATTGCTTATTTTGGTTTTGGTTTTATGCCGACTTAGCACTTCATAAAATTGGAAGTGTGTGCCCAAGAATAACTTAAGTATATAACGGGTTCTTCAGGAGCGATGTAACATTAGTAAATAATAARTCGATCGAAACAATTATCCCTCTGACTTTTTAAGCATTTTTTATTTATTTTTATTTATGCGAAAAAGGTCATGTTATCGGTWTTCATACCTTCAAATGTTGCTTAGCGCTCTTTTATAATTAACCAGTAATAGAACACCCTGTATATGCTTTRGAACTTAAGAGAGAACATTTAGCGGAACTCATTTCATGAGTAATTACAAGGTAAATAAACTTTTTTCCTAACTGCAAAAGGCACCGCGAAGTGGAGGCGAGACGCGAGGGAGCGTGTCGTTTCAAGGATAGTTTGCGATAGTCTTTTTTCGCTGAAAAATTTCGACTGCACAGCTATGGCCGCGGGTCAACACGTTGCTTTGTTTAAAGGTTCATTTATCATACATTTCATTTGTGTGCCATGTTGTGGACCTGCTTCAGTGAAACTTTGTGGGGCACGCTCCCCTGCGACCGCTACGAGTATGCCAACACTATTTGGTTTTGTGGGTGCTTAGCACCGCTTGCGATATCAATTTACGGCATTGAATTACACACCGTGGTGGTGAATCGCCAAAACCGGTTCACTGCGGTGGTAATAAATTAGGCAACGTGCAAACGCCCAGCTCGCCCGCACAACTGAGCAACCGTTCGCCACACTCTTTGTCAGCTCGCGCCTTGGGAGTTGGCCGCCTCCGCAACTAGCCGCGCTTGCCGTTGACACCCCGRAACATAAATTTAATAAACAAAGTCAGGAGAAAAAACACATTTTTTCCTTCACAAGTTCTCGGAAGTGTTTTAGTTTTGTCAGCACACTTWATCGGTAATTATTATTATCAGTTACAATGCGACAGTGCTGACACCGCTGACACCGTTAAGTCAGCTCATTTGTTTAAGGTTCGCGCGCCTTTGCGTTTATGTACATAAGAATTTTAATTAAGCATAGCATTACATAGCGGTTCAAAGTGTATGCCATCGGCAGGATTTTTGTCGTGCTGCCAGCAACCCACCCAAAGGACATGGCATGAGCTTTGAGCTTTRACGCTTTAGCTTCCTCTGCTGTGGCCCTGTGGTTGCTTGTGTCATTTTTGCYATGTATGTGGCCAGCGCTTATGTTTGAGTTAGAACTTGTGTCTGTTTACAGACACTATTTAAGCTTTCGACAACCAAGTTCGCCGATATTTATTTACCTAAAYGCCTCAAGTAATAAGTTTGAAATGTGAACTGATCTTTAATTATGCAACATTTAGGAGTTTTTTTCTTACACAAGCCTTTGAGTATATATTGCTTGAACTTAATTGTAGTATTTCTTAATTATAATCTYTGTAATTCGTGTTTTAAATTGTTGTAGTCACAATTAGTCTAATTACCTCCCAAGCCTCATAAATACCAACAATTTTGGTTGTCACTCTGTTTGCTTCATATTTGCAATTCCACCACTTATATAACTTAGGAATAACAAATTAATCAAGAGTAGCGGTTGGACTGATTTACATTTTTAATATAATTATCAATTATTTCCGTTAACCTAAGACACTGACTGTACAGGTTCTACTTAAGTAAATAAACTAAACACTAAATCACAAAGCTTGGAATTCCTATCGCAGAAAATATTTTTGAGAACAGTTATGATCGGTTGTGACGACGTGGCTTCGAAAATGAGATTTGCATTTAAATGTCGTTAAGTAGTTGTCTACYAATCTAGCTGTCATCCCATAACTATCTTATATTCGCTAAACTCGCGAACCGAACGAACTTTRAGAGCTATTGCACTTGTAATGCTACAACAATTCCGTTACGCGTCAAAAAATAAATGAAATTATTAACAGTTATTAACAAAGACACTTTCCGAAAATCAGTATTGGTAAATGAGTTAARCACAGCAACACACCTTACTTGAGGACACCAGAGGTATCGAAAAGGATGGTCCCCACACCTAATAAATGGGATTATACACTTCGATCGACCCGTTTCGCAACAGACAGCGCATCTGGGCAGGACATTATTTTTCTGTTCTATCGATTCGTCAGCATGCTTTTCGCGATGTAAACATCAACTYCGAAATATTCGGGCATGTATTCAGACTTATTGAATTTGTCCCYAATTGTGTTATTGAGAAATTCACTGCAGTAGAGTCTGAAATATTAACATACAGTTAAAGTGGGAAGCCGGAAAAAATCCAATCTAAGTAAAAAAAATAATTTCTTGTCTGCTTTTCTAGTAACCTTAATTTCTAAAGACCGATTAGAACATCGGTTTAAAAAACTTATTGAACCAATCACTACAATTCTTTAAAAACTTTCCAAATAGACTCATTTTGGGCCGATGTAGCTCTGCTGAGGAAGCGTTGGGCTACCGGACTTGGTTACGTAGCTGTTCACAAGAAAGGAGGTGTGAGCGGGGCGTTGWCGTGGTGCCACTTCCAATCGGACGATCGACCTTTTTTGATAGATTAAATAAATTAGGCAATTAAACGAATATTTAGAAGATGGTCTGAGCTCAAAACTTTGCGCACACGAGTCACATTGTCTGTGTTTGTCGAAGTCGCAGGTCCAGCGACCTCTTCCCGGGCCTCCATAAAGACCGGCTGCCACCGAAATACACCACTTTTGCTAAAGCAACAGCTGAGTATGCCTGCTTGATCATATGAAACGTCTCTGTCGTCTGACGAACGCTGCTCCGAAGTACAGTCGCGGCGGATGAAAATCTGTTTCCGGACAAACCATGTAGGAAGTAATCAAATGCAAAAATATTTATCCTTACCTCATAATCTTTCTATGTGCATATAATATATATTTTAGACAAGAATCTACAAAAGGTTTTTGAGAAACCTTTAACCTAATAACTTAGTGCATTATATGGAACTGCTGAATATTAGATATATGCAGGTTATTAAAAATAGTAGTAGAAAAATAACTTGTGTACACAACCARCTGCCAGACCCGCTCTAAACTGCGTCCAGCTACATTTTTAGTAGCTTTAGGGTCATGCAGGAGTCGTCATATGCGCGCCGAATGGGCATTAGTAACAACGGTACATGAGATAGAATGTATAGAGCTAGAAMACCTCCTATGCTTCTGCCCAGCCTTATCTAGAGYTYGTCTTAGAGGTCTAGGAGCTTYGCAGTTCAAGTGACCAGTTGAAGTATCAAAATTAGATTTCATGTCGCTTTAAAAGTTCGCAGAAAGCGTTGACTTACTRTGTGATGAATACTTCAAATTAAACTAAGCCTCCATCTGGCATTACTAAGGACCAGAGAGTCTACGTATGGTGTTACAGCCGGCTAGTATAACCTAACCTATGTGTTTTATTTCTAGGAATTTACCCTTGCCTTTATGTATGCAAGTCTATATGGTATAGATTCATGAAAGAGACTATAAAACCAAGTTTCGCGAGGTCGGCTCTTAAAGATTACTTGGGGTACTTTAGCATGTTAATCTACACTCKTTAATTAATGGAACTTAAATCAATAAGGAAATAAAATAACGTTTCTTATTGTACTAACAATATTACAAAATTTATTTTCAAAGTTCTAAAGTAAACTGCTAACATGAAGTCTTAAATACAATCTTTTCAATCAGTTCGAACGATCGTATTACTTCTTGTTATGATGCAATTACCAAGTCAATTAAAATTTTCTCAAAATAAAAGTATTAATATATACACATATATATAATAAAATGATTTCATAATCCAGATACAAAGTGAGTCCCAAAGTAAACTGGACTTAAAAAAAAAATAAAAGAACAAATGGTTTTTTCACCAAAATCAATTTATTTTATTCAAAATAGTCTCCTTCTCCTTCAATACAGCTTTTTGCACGGTGCAAAATTAGTATATTTACTTAATGGCCAAATGCATTTYTCCGAAAAGGAAAAAGTCGCACGGTGCCATATCAGGTGAAAACGGGGAGTGGTTAATGATTAAAATGTGATTTTTGGTCAAATAGTCGTCCTTCGAATGTTGGATTCTGAGAMATTTTTGGTCGTCWGTCAATTTGTGCGGAACAAACTGTGCACACACCCACATGTTGATCGTCTCTTATATCCTCACGACCACTTTGAAAACGTTGAAACCACTCGTGCACTCTGCTACGGSATAGGCAATCATCGCCATAAACTTGTTTCATTGTTTCAAGTTTTACCAAATTTAAAACAAAAAAATTYAATGTTGGCTCTTTGTTCGAAGCTCATTTTCCCACCGATAACACAAACATACTGACACTTAAAACGCAATAAMTCCACTTCCAATCAATGAAATGTCATGAAATTCTCACTCTACAATCGATAAAGATAGCAAATTTTAACGCACCAGTGAACATGTAGATGCCAGGGGGCGCTAGATTCAAAAAGTCCTGTTTACTTTGGAACATACCTTGTAGAGTAGTATGTACGACTATAGTTCGAAATACGTACACCCAAAGATTTTTTAGCAGTTCTAATTATTATTTCAAATTTGCTTTAGGACTAAATTGGTGAAAAATTTTGATGATTTTGTACGTGCTTTCATAAAAACTGCTTTTCGTTAGGAAAAAATAACGTGAACTAAGTTAATTAGAACTCTATAAGCTGAGCTTGTTCCATTAGCAAACAAAATGAGTTCACTAGAGGCCTTCGGCAAGCCATTTACATGGAAAATACATACATAAAATAAAATATTATTATTTCGTCCATTTTTTCTTTAATTATTGTGAAAATCTCGAAGTTACTAATACGCACTGTTGAGCCGCTTACCTGCGCAACTTCGCGCTTTCGCCCGTGGCAAGTTTGTTGGAAACTTCAAATTGAAGTTGCCACGGACACTTTTATCTGTTTTGTTTTGTTGGGTTAAAGTATATATGTTATAGCAAAAGCAAGCCTTACTCTCCGCGCCCCCGCAGCTTATTGGGCTGCATTGCACCCAATTTTCAAATTGTTCATTGTTTTTCTTTTTTTGCAACACAACTTTCGAACGAACAAACGTCTGACAGCCGAAAGTTTAACTTTTTGCTTTGGCAGTTCCACAAATTYCGTGCAACTAAATTACATTAGTGCGACACACGCTGCTGCCGAGCGAATTCTAGTCACGTTGCGTCGCGGMCATTTTCGCGCCACAGCAAAACGTTTGCGGCGCATTCAAAGTGATCCCCACTACATGTGAGCTCGTGTGTTTTTCCGGTTTGCAAAGAAAAAGCAACAAAATAACGAAAACAGTCAATTTTCAATTCAACTTTGCATAGAAATATAAAAACGGACTCGTAAATATGCCAACGTTACAGATTTGAAATCAGTTTAGCGTGGCAACCGCCTCACATAAACATTCATTTAGATATTGGTGAGCTTGCGCCTATGTATTGGTGCGTGAGAGCGAGSTCGATTTGCATGCAGAGGCGTAGATGATTTCCAACTGTTGCCCTTGAGCTACTGACGCTTGTTCCAGTCCAGTAGACCTCCATATGGGCTTTTCGGCAAGTCAATGTGAAYGCTCGGTTTGATGATTTTATTCATTCGTGGGCGGTAAAACGGTTTTGATAAAATTTGAARAAGAGATCGTTTTGTTTTCGGTGGAAAAGGTAATACTTCACATTCGTTAAAATATTTAATTATGAAATGGAGCAGTTGCACCGAATTTTTTACCCAACTGCTCGACTGCATTTTGTGGAGACAAGCGGAGTTTTGCAACTGAAGCGGATCTAAATTTTATGTGGAAAGGAATTGGCCACACATTTTCAAAACTACTAAGAGWTCCCTTTCTTCAGATACTACAGTCATAACTGCAATAAGTACATTTATTATGAAAACTGCACCCCCACTACCCAAATCCTGCTTATTGTAGAAATAATTTTCTTTCAAAATATTTTCAAATAATATCCGTAATCTGATATTAGCCACAAACCTTCACAAATCCCACCAAAATTTAAAGGATGGAACATGCGAATTAATTGAGTCAACACTGTTCTAGTTGTCTGTATTATCATAATATTTAATTAATTTCAACTTTTTTATATCCAACAGTTCTCTTAAATGGTTCCGGGTTTAAATCCTAGTCAGTGCAGGGCTAAAGTGAACTGTACCCTGAACCCAGCACACAAATGCCTCAAGTAATCGCTTTAGCAGCCACGTCGCCTTACCGAATTCCAATTAAATGAACTTTAATATGGAAAAAATATTCCAATCCTTCTTCCCTCTTTCTTATTCTACACTTATTAGCTAGATATAACTATTTATACGTAACATATTTGCAGAGCATTCAACTATCGTCTTATGGACATAGTGTTCGTTGGAAATTGCGGTTTCATGGATACACTGAAGAAGCGCTTGCACGTCAGTCGCCAGAATGCCGCACGAAAATCAACACTGTAGAAGGCATAAATGAAGGGATTTATGGCGCTATTGAACCAACCCAGCCAGGTGAGTCCCTTCGCCAGCGTTCGACTTACTTGATGCTCCTCCAGGAAAGGGGTTATCAGATAGTATACGAAGAACGGTAGCCAACACGCGATGAAACCGCCGACAACAATGCTCAGCGTTTGCGTAGTTTTGTTCTCCTTTTTCAGCGAAGTGATGCGATTCGAGAGGGATTTGGCGTGGTGGTGATGGTGTTGTTGCTGTATGCGTGTGTGACGTGTCAATGCAGCTGCTTCCGGCTGCAAATGTGGCGATGTGGTCGCACTGGCTGCAGAAGCAATCGCGTTTAAGCCTGAGCCGCTGCCGCCGCCGCTGCCGGAAGCGCCAATATGATGGTGATGTCGCACGCTAAGCGTACGTGCCGGCCAGTGCTGATCACTTAAGCTTGTATTGCCAACTGCGGGAATGTTCAGACCACCGCCCCCGCCGCAACCGCTTGTCATAACGGTCGTGGTGGAGGACGATGTCGGAGTGCGCCTTAAAGACGACGGACGCGTTAATTCATAGCAACTATTCTTGGCATTCGCGGTGCTTAGAGCAAGTAGAGAGTGGCAYTGAGGTGAAGAACCACCATCACCACCACCGTTGCCATTATCATTACCACTGCCGTCAGTAGCTGCCGTGGCAGTGGCGCCAAGAGCCTCACCTTCGCACAGTATCACGTCATGCAACTCCTTGGCAATGGTTTGGTTTGAAAATGTACGGGCTGCTGCCTGTTTTCGTTGGCCCGAACTGAGYTCCTGCTCAGAGAAGTCATGGTCAATGTCATTTTCTACATCGGCGGCTGTATAGCGCTTGAACTTCTGCAAAACCAGAGCAGAGAAAAATACATAAATATCCAATTAGCTTGTTATTTTACTTAAAATTACTGAACATCTACAAAATGAGCACGAATATTAAAGTTTAGATGAGCTATTAAGGAACTGTCTCTTAATTTTGTACGTGCTTTCATAAAAACTGCTTTTCGTTAGGCAAAAATAACGTGAACTAAGTTAATTAGAACTCTATAAGTTGAGCTTGTTCCATTAGCAAACAAAATGAGTTCACTAGAGGCCTTCGGCAAGCCATTTACATGGAAAATACATACATAAAATAAAATATTATTATNCGGCTGTATAGCGCTTGAACTTCTGCAAAACCAGAGCAGAGAAAAATACATAAATATCCAATTAGCTTGTTATTTTACTTAAAATTACTGAACATTTACAAAACGAGCACGAATATTAAAGTTTAGATGAGCTATTAARGAARGGCAAAGTTCGGGTACAACCGAACATTTTATACTCTTGCAGCTTGCATGAATGAAAGCCAGGGAAATACCCTAAGGCGTTAAACGTCAGCCAGAGGATTGGAATCCAAGCAACTCATACTCTGAATCTGACTCTTGTGAAAGCACCTTACATACAATCTTTAATCATAAGGAGTAAAGTCAGCTGGATGTTGGAAAGTTCTWGTATTAGTTATATGGGGCTAGGTCAAGTTTTCGCTCAAATTTTTCCAYTTTAAACCCATGAGTAAAACACGCTATTTTCTTTTCATTTTCAACCCATTTTTGATACACAGAGTAACTATCATTAAGAAAGGATTCTCTCTGAATTTCAATTATATGACCCGTACATTGACCGATATATTCGGTCAAAAGTGAACAAGGGATACTGGGGTCCACATACTCGGTACGTAGTTGCTTTAAAAGATTTTGTTAGATTTTGAGCAAATTTTCATAAGGCCATAAGGTGGCTTACTTTAACATAATTATTATTGCAAACTTTTATTTCGTTATATTAATTACTTCTTGATTTGTGAACYGAAAGTAAAAGAACCAAATGGAACTTAAAATTGTACTGCACGGGAAGTAGGCGTGGTTACAATCCAGTTTTGCATTATGACATAGAAGTATGAGATGCCACATATTAAATTAAGTCGAAATTGGTGGTGCGGGTAGCGAGATATGAAATTTCACCAAAGGTGCCACTTCATTCTCCAGTTTTTAAGCCGTYTCATGCAATCTCGTAGGTAAAACCTACTGATTCTGGCATATTTAGTTATTTTAGTGGTTTTAACAGTACTGTTATATTTGGAGTGAGAGGAATTATCTCGCGATTTCATTCACTTTCCTTCTGTCATAGAAGGTTTTTTTTTTTTTGGTGCAGCTTTAGCTTTTAGCTCAACATATCTCAATTTTAATTCAAGTTACAGCTTACATGGGCTAACGGAAAGGCAAACATATACATATGTATGTACATATATAACCCTATATCTATCTTTACAAGTTTTGGGTGACACGTGCAACCGTTAGCTGAACAGTACTATTGTATTGTACTATTGCACTCTGTAGCAACATGTTGCAGGAGTATAAAAATGCCGAAAAGGACAACAACAATTTGTATTTTTATCTCGACATTTTCAATGTCAAAGCACATGAATTCACAATTCAACTAAAAAACACATTTCTGGAAAGACACACATTACTCACCTTATTATGGACGCTGATGTCCGTCATGTGGTCATGACGCGACGCAATAACACATGAAATTCTCGCATAAACATAAATCATAACGGCCATCGGAATGAAGAATGAGCCCATGGCGGAGAAAATCACATATCCTTCGTTCTGATTGTAACGGCACTCGCTTAGGTCGCGWCGCCCTGGCTCGTACCTGTTTGGTCGTTGCAAAATTTGAAAATTATGCAGACTTTAAATTGAAAATTACATAAACGGTTTTATCTAAAGTACACACATCCGCACATAGCAAAAGAAAAGCAAARTTATTGAAAGAAAGACAAAAATTGATGACCCTGTGATTAAAACTAACTAATGCTGAGATTATAAATCTGACTCTGATATTTTTCAGATTGATAAAATGTCAACCGTAGGCATTGAAGCTCATGTATTCGGTAGGATACTTGCAAAGTTWTAATCCGATTTCGACTATTTTTGGAGGTGAGAATGCAAACCTTCAATATAATTAGTATGCACAGTTACTTTTCGATAATGTGGGTTCTGCTAATGTAAGGTGAAAGAATCATGTGGAATTTAGAATTGAGATATACATATGAGAAGTGGGTGTGGAAAGTATAAATACCCTCMATGGGTATTTGCAGGGAATTGGTCTAGACCACACTCTAGAGGTGCATGAGATATGTGCTAGGTGTAATGTAGGGTGTAGGGGTCGTTTCTAGGTTTACTCTATAAAAACCCCCCGAGTAATAGGTTTCAAATAAATTCGTCAATATTTAAAAAAAGATTAAAAAGTTGAGTTTGCCACTCCAATTCCAAACATGGTGGATTAGGGTGAGAAAAAAATATGACTTGATGGGGCAAAACGAACTTGAAATTAGTGCTCAACTACCGCAAAAACATATGAAACAGCAGGTTTGGTGAAAAGAACCCCTAAAAATTTCTTTGGTGGACCTGTGCTATTTTCAATGTGAAGTGCAATATTTTGTGTCAAGAAATATCTACCAATAACCCAATCGGTTAGCAAATGTCGAAGTTATTCAAGATTACACACACACACTAAACCATTTTTATAAGCCGGGAGTAGTTCTGTTATGGGCCAAGCATAGGGTCAAAAATGTGGAGGTTATAGATGTAACCAAGCATATTTCTATACCTATTCCTAAAAGAAGTTTACATTATAGTGCAGAAAACCATAAACATCCATGTTAAGACTCTGCTAGTTTGTTTTCACTGATAAATATGATAGAAAATCAAGGAGCCTATCTCKAAAGTAAACTGCTTAAATACTAGCAAATATTCCTTTCAGCTCTTTTATTTTGAAAGTTATTTTCCGAAATAAAACTTCTCAGTAATTGAAAAGTGATCAAAAAACCTTTTCAAAAGTCATTGCGAACTTTATATTTCCTAACAATGCCATATTCATTAAACGTGTGCCCCACTTTAGTTAAAAAGGAACGTTCACATCCACACTTCACATAATAATGGTCGGGCAGTGAGAGCTTTTTGGACTCTTCAAATTTAATCAAGCAATGTACCTTTAATGCCCGCCAGACAATTTGTAAAAAGTACAATCGCACCAGCAACTACACATCCCCACTCACACATACTTACCAACCCAACATTGGCGGGCACGTGATAGCCAAAGCCAGGACCCAAACAACCAGAATCATTATGAACGCCAATCGCTTGGAGCGTCTTCTGCGTGAATAGGTCAGAGGTTGCGTAACGGCCAAGTACCTAAAGCAAACAAAAGAACAAGGTAGAGGATACCTAAAGTGAAAGTGGCTTATAAAAATTAATGGCATTGATAAAAAAATTTCAAATGTTGCTTTTTCGATGATCATTTTCAAAAACAAAARGAAACAAAAAWAAATTCATTTYCTCAAATTCATTCTTAATTAAAAGTTCCATTTAACGTTTCGACATACTCAAATATTTAACGGTTRATTGCATAGTATGACTTGGTCATTAGGCGCTCGTTTGCCCCTACTCGTACTTACCTGTCGACGCTGATGGCGCACAGGCTCAGTATGGATGCCGTACAGAGCAGCACATCCAGTGATATCCAAATGTCGCAGAGCACCCAACCCAGACGCCAGGAGCCTGCAAAGAAACGAAGTGCCAGGAACCTGCAAGTTAAGTGATTTCCTCGCAGGCAAAGTWCCAATAACTTTGGATTAAAAGTTTMKACAGAAAAATGCAAAGTAAACCGAAATAAAAAAGGGCAAAGCAAACCGAAATAAAAATAAAAAGAAACACCACCGAAAATASGAGAGGTCGAAAACTATAATTTTTCTCCTAAGAGTCTCTGAAAAGGTGTTTATGTGTTGTATTGTCCATGGATAAAAAGTGAGATGAAAATGGCAAATGTCTTGTTTTTTTGGCAGCGCTGTCATAGCGGCGCATGGTGACAATACCAAAGTTACGGTTTTTTTGAATGCGAACAGATCTGTTGTTTCAACAGAGCATTAGTGCGGAGCAAAAMCGTGAACTATTCAAAGATGAGCTGAGGTTTTAAGGTTAAAGGAAGCGCTGCCGAGTTAACAGAACGGTGATTTYATAATACATATAGATTACTGGGGAATCAGTAGGCTACCATGGCATTTATTTGAAAGGGCCCTGTCGACGAACTGATTGAATTTTAAATTATGARTTTAAATGAAYATAATATGTGCCAAAGCTATTAGAWTTTATAACTTTTTACTTAGGATCTCATAGATGTTGTTGCATCGACTTAACAYATTTTCGTTAATATTTTGGGTATGAAGCGTCTCTATGCTGGACTCGTACCAAAAGACCGGAATCTTTTTCTTTGGCTTAGACTAACCTGTCATGAACTTTTCTACACCGAAGAATGTACATTAAGCAACAATATTTGTAACTCCCAGAATGAATCGTTGGCGACACAAGATAGTACATTAATAAATAATCAGCGTGCCAGCTGAGTCAATTTAGTCACCTCCGGCTTTCGCTTTACATACGCGAACTAGTCCCTCAGTTTTTGAAATATTTATGTGAAATTTTGCACACGCCCTTTTCTTACTAAGCTGCTAATATTTCCAAGTCGGAGGGTATTCCAGCGTCGGGGAGCCGAAGTTAACATTTTTGTTGATTTCTAAAGTTTTCGAAAGCATAAACCCGTAAAGTTATCTTCCAGTTGCACATGCTAGCAAAGTAAAGTTTGGCATAAGAATTCTTTGACTTGAAACGGACAGGKGTCGACGTAAAGTACATATGCTCACGTAACGAGCTCACCTCCCGCCGGCGTATTGTAAGCTTGCCAATCAAGAAACCTTTATGGCAGAACGAAGCGAATTATTTTTCGAAAACATCAACGTTTTTCACCTTGTACCCAAGGGTCGAATGGCGAAAACTTTTATTATGCGACAAAGGGTTATGTTGCTCAACATGCCAGCCTTTTTATACACCTGCAATATGTTGCTAAAGAGTTTAATAATTTTGTGCCCACAACTCGAGACGGATATAGGCTGTATATATAATATTGTTTAGATTCCGGTCTTCTGGTTGACAAGGCAAGAGTATAAAATCCTCGGTTGCACCCGATCTTGGCTCTTCCTTACTTGCTCTTTATTTACTTTATTTCCGTGAATACAAATGGAGTGAGAATAAGAATGTAGTCGCAAGTTTCACCTTTAGAGGGCATAAAGAATGAAATATAAAAATTTTTTAACACAAAAATTGAGTAACGATGCAAATCGGCTTATTGTAATAAAGAGAAAGTTGAAAAGTTCAGTGTTGAATGGACTTCTTTTCTTTTTTTCTCTGTTCTACGTTCAACCCATTACTTCTATGTATGCATCCTCACTATTTGCATACAAATGTACTGTTATCCCCTTAAAAGCGAAACACTTTTGGCCGAATTACTAGAAACCAAAGTTGAATTTTAAAACCAACGTCGTCTTTGTTAGCACAAATATTTAATCAATGAGCTGTTAGCACTGGATTCACATGACCCAAAGCTGAAACTCTTCCCAAAAGTATCACAGAGTGGTATTTGTATCGGAAAAATAAAGTCACTASAATCAGCTTATTATGTAACATACATATAAGTACTATATGTTGGTATAGTAAACAAGGAAAACGTAAAATGGAATTTAAAATTGTGTTATATATCGCCCTTTGAAAATAGTTTCAGATATGAAAGTTTTCGAAATCGGATAATAAGTTCTCAAGCCCTCTGATACCGAATAAATGAACCCCAGTGTCTGTGGATGTTATTTTTCCGAGTACCGTCATAACAATGTGGCCTTATGTACAAAATAGGCAAAATCGTGGTAATATTTCCMTTAGATAGAGATTTTGAACTGTCTGGTTGCCTTTTTATCTCATACATCGGTCAAATGTGCGTTATCTCAACTGTGTTTTAAAATGAATTAAATTGGGTGTATACTTTCTAGCTCCCTTATACCTAATATTAAGATGTTCAAAAATCCGGTTGACTTTATGCCTTATTTTATTGGTTACTATATGAGTTAAAAAATTGAGAAATAGTATATAAAAGTTAAGGAAATTGATAGAGTAGAATGGGTATTTCCCTAGGCCCCATATACCTATTATAAGAAATTCAAATTTCTGCTTGGCCTTATACCATATACATATGTATGTCTAAGTGCGAATAATACTAGATATATAGACTATATCTTAATACAGAAAATTTTCGAAATCGGTTCATAATTTTCGGCATTCTAACASACTTTATTACCAATATATCGGTCTGTGTGAGTTATCTTTATAACTGCGTGGAAACATATTCTGGAGTTTACTTGAGTAATGCAATCAGTCCAGATTTTCTCTGGTAGGGGTTTTCCTATATATCAAATAGAGTTTAGCCTCTTTGGTAGAGGTAATGTATGTATGTTTATATTTCATTTAAGTTAATTAGGTTGATTTAATATAAATATCTCGGGCACAAAGCAAAATAAAGAAATGAAACTTAGCGAGTGTATGACTCAAGTTAGGAGATTGAGCTAGTAAATATGATTCGCTATTTCGTCGAAAACTTATTGTTGAATATTTGCATAGAATGTTTTGTTATAAACAGCTGAAAGCACATTCCTTGGCCAACATTTGTTGATTGTTTCGATAACAGTATTYCGGTAATTTTGAATTCAGAAGATTAAATCTTGTAATGAATATGATTCATACTATATWCTTCCATACATATGTATGTAGGTAAGTATGTAAATACGAAGTCAATATTAGAGTTGGCGCAATCATTTTCGACATAATTGAACGGAAATATCATTGGGCCGTCATTTCTCGTAATTTGACTCACCTATCAGGTGGACAGCTACAGCGGGTGGCATCACAAATATACCCACCAGAAGGTCAGCGATGGCCAAGCTCATAACGAAGCAGTTGGTGACGGTTTTTAAGCGACGCGTTGTTATGACGGCCAATATAACGAGAGTGTTGCCGATGATGGTAACCACAATGAAAGTGCTGAAGACAGCAATTAGACAAATGCCCTGCCACGACAGCATCAGGTCGTAGAACCGCGCCCATTCCTCGTCCGCGTCAATGGCAGTTGCGACGTTATTAGTGTTGTTGGCCATAAACCCCGTTTGAAGCGGASTGCTGTTGTTGCTGCCGCTGGCGGGCGTTGCGGTGGCGCTGACAGCTGTCGTCAGCAAGAGTGAGCGATTGATGTCTTCCAGGTTTTGCTCGTCATACATGGCCGCACTCGTGTGTGTCGAATCAGTTAGTGTTGTCACTGTGTTTATTGTGGGTGCATGTAGCAGCTGCGCGCTACTGTTGCCAGTGTCATAGGKACTATTGTTGTTGTCGTGGCGATTGGCGCTGTAATACATCGCATATGGCATTTTTTGTGCAATTCGATTGTGAATTTCGTTACGCGTCATCATTAACGGGACATTATTAGCGATTTTGKGCACCGAGTTATTTCCATTGCCATTCTTCATTCCAGCTGGCATTGTCCAGATGATGGCGAGTAGGTCTTCGTCGGAATTTGCGTCGGAAGGCCGAACTCTCATTATAGACACTAATTTGCCGCTTTCAAAGTCCTCAGTTTGACGTTTGATACTGAAATGGAGAGTGAAATCATTCAAAATTTKACTTATCAAAAAAATTCGTATATWTGTACATATSCATTTATATGTATRCATGTATGTATGCTCGTTTTTATAAAGATACTTTCACCCACATGWTGTCGCTGCACGCAAATCCTTTTCAACACATGCCACTCTCGGCTTTGTTCTTGACCGAATTTGAAGCTTGTCGGCCTCCGCTAACGGAAAACATCTGCTGTGGCCGACTATTTACATACATATGTACATGCATATATATACAGTTGTGTTCAAAATAATAGGAGTGCATCACACTATAAAATTCAAAGTTATGTTTTTTAACAACAACAAGAATTTTACTAATATATTTTTTGTCTACGAATTGCTCATTTTATGCAGTCTTTTTAAGCACTTTTAAAGTTTTAGTAATACACAGTAAATGAAACAAATAAATAAATTGTTTAAATAAAAACCTCAATAATTCGGTGTTCAAAATAAAAGGAGTGTATCACAAAAATCAATAAAACTAATAAAAAACAAGTAAGGAAGGGCTAAGTTCGGGTGTCACCGAACATTTTATACTCTCGCGTTTTATTTCGCTATCATCATTGGTTCCTAATGTATATATTATACAGAGAAGGCATCAGATGGAATTCAAAA